TGCACTTTTGCTATTTAACATACAATGTTGCTATTGAATGCATCAAGCTAACAACGAAAACCTTTCTGATCGTTTAAAATGCTTCCCAATGACGCTGTTTGGTGCTGCTGTTGCTGCTGCTTCAGCAAAGACGTTTTATTTGGAAAGAATTTGCTCAATTGTACAAATATTGTCCCGATAAAAGCAATCTATCAATCGGCTCCTCCCACACCGAACGTCTTTTTTTTTTTTGACTCCTTTTATGCTTTTTGACCTTTCCACCAGTATTTTTTGATGCTTTTTTTCCTTGCATCAAAACTAATACAACCCAATTAGAACTGAAAATCAACATCAAAAAATAAAAATTTTATTTTTAAAACCTCTTAGGCATAACCCTTCTACGTAACAACGGCGACTATCAACATCTTAAAACAATTATTTTTGTTACAAACACATCTTTTCTTTTGCTTTGTTTTTTCCCTTTGCCTCCTTCTTTTACAACTCAATACCAAAAAGTTACGTTTTGGCTGCTATATTGTTCTTTTTACCATCGTGTCCACCACCATTATCAACCTTTTACACAGAGAGCAACCAAAAAAAAACCCAACATTTAAACACTACACATATACGTAAAGATAAAAAACGCATCAAGTCTCGTCAGTAATACGATCTACATGTACTCCAAAATACCTTTTTTCTTTGCTTTCATCTTTCACTCATTTTCTTTTTCCCGACCTAACAACTATTACTCGCATCAAAGTGTCAACTACTAGATAATAGGTAACAAAATTTGGCTATTAGAAAGAGGAAAAAAACAAACAAATCATTAATAAAGTATTTTCGTCTTTTGTTCCTTTATTGTTCTCATCAACCAATTTAACAGTTTCAGAAATTAAATAAATGGGTAGTTCAAAAAATTCAGATGCTATAGCCATTAACCACTGCTGCCTTCCAAAAGCCTAAAATAGACGAGCAACCAAAAAAAAAGACCAATATCAAATGTCTCAAAAAATATGTGTGCATGTGTTTTAGTTTGTCAAACTGCGCCCAACAAACATTTTGTAGAACAGTTTGGTTTTTTATACTACCGGCCTTTTTACTTCCAAAACACTGAGCCGCTGTCACCTTCATCATGGCTGTCGTCGTGTTTTCCTCCCCTCTTCCCTCTCCTTGGCGTCATCATCGCCGGACCGGTGAATGACGACGCCGACGTTTCATAACGATGACACCACCAACTGTACTGCAACTATTTTTCACCAAATCGCCTTCAAATATACCCACAAAAAGTTCCGGTGCCCCTCCTTCTTCCTCTCCTCTTTTTTTTTTTCCCCCCCCCCCC